ATTCAAGGATGACCCTCAGTTGACAAAGTTCTGGCGAATTACTAAAGTTGAGCTACACAAACTAATTCAAGATTGAGCTTGCCAGTAGAAAGTGGAATAACAACGTATTGACAACTGTGTTCGAAGGCAGGACTTACTGGGAGGGATCCTGACTGTAAAACGAATGGGAAAAACGCGTCTCTTCCTAGGGATAGCTAACCAGCTACCCATTCATGTTTTGCGTTCGTGGAGTATCAGGTTCTAAAACAGACAGCAGTCAACGTGACCATGACAGTGTGAGTCCCAAAGGAGGTCAGGGCTTTAGGGCAAGTGTGTGTCCGGCAGAAGGTCGGGGTGTAGGTCATGTGTGTATGTGTCTCCCAGGAGGTCGGGGCTGTAGGGCATGTGTGAGTCTCCCTGGAGGTCAGGGCTGTAAGGCATATGTGTGTGTGTGTGTGTCTCCCAGGAGGTCAGGGCTGTAGAGCATGTTTGTGTGTGTCTTCCAGGAGGTCGGGGCTGTAAGGCATGTGTGTGTGTGTGTGTGTGTCTCCCAGGAGGTCAAGGCTGTAAGGCATGTGTGTGTCCCCCAGGAGGTCAGGGCTATAAGGTATGTGTCTGTCCCACAGTAGGTTTTTTTTTTTATGTTAAGGTGGGGAAAGGATGGAAGGCATGCTGGGGCTCAAGGCACAGCCAAACATGAGGGATGGAGAAGTCACAACATATAGTTGCGGGGGGAAAGGTTGGAAAAGAAGTTTAATGAGTTAAACAGAGGGGGACGACACCCCTTGTTTTACATATTACAGAGTTTGTTGGCTAACTAAGCTAACCTAGGATTTAGAATGAGGTTGCACAATGGTTATTTTAGTAGACAATGACTAGATTGATTTTACAATTACAAGTTTATTAACATCTTATACTGTATTACGTTATGGACTCACTTGATTGTGACTTGTTAAATGTGAATTTATATCATCTAAGTTTTAATCTAAGGTGGATCACTGTGGCGGACATAGATGGGTCGCGGGTTGGGTTGTTGTAGTGCGGGCAGACTCCGGGGCCACCAGGCGTGGGGTCTCCCTCCATTGATGTCTTCCCCACGTAGGTGGTCTGGGCTGTGAGGGTCGTCCAGGAGCTTGTCCCAAACCTTCTTCCCTAGGCGATGGAACCTGAAGTTGAGGGCCTGTTTTATTTCTTAGGTGGATGGTTTCCACTGTCTCCTGGTAGGGTGGCGCTTGGCCACTGGCTGACCTCAAACACTTGTTTTGGAAGCTCTGTAGTTGTTGTAGTCTAGTCTTCCCGAGTGTGACGAGTGGTATAGATGGGTACTCCAACACAGGCCTCACCAGCGCCTTGTACAGGTGAACTTGTATCTTCTCAGGCATCAATTTAAAACGTTTTAATTTGGCTGCGGCGACTTTGGCTTTATTTAGTCTGTCCTTCACGTGTAGGTATTCTACTTGAACCTGAAAGAAATATTCATGTTTTCTAATGTAAGTTTAATTTTCCCCACTGGCCGTTGATTAACTATCCCACAAATTTAACACCAAGGAAGCAGTGAGTGTGGCTTTGTGAAAGTTACCAAGGGCGACTATATTGCAGGCAGACGCCGCCGCGGAGCCACTGCCGATATAGCTCAGGCGAGCAACAACAGTGCTTTGAGAGTAGTTGATTCCTACCACTTATAATGATCCCAGTAACAGTAAGATACAAGTCGAGGTTCGACTTTCTTAACTTTCCGGGATACGACCGACAGTGGAGACCAGTGTCTATTTTTCACGAAACATTCGAGTTTTAATTTTCTAAATACAACCTCACAAGTTTTGTGCCAAGATGCCCAAGGTGGAGTTAAGTTTCAGCAATACCTTGGCTTGCTTCCAGATATGTTAGATCTAATTTCATGGCCATATCATCTTACTCTTAAGCCTTTACTTAATTGTCTGCTAAAACATTATATACATGGCCTAAGTCTTTCTATTTTGATCGGTAGTTGTTTTGCTAGTAAATGATCGCTGCCCTTGCCCTGTCCGCCTCATTGTAAGCTGTTGATTCTTTTGAGGTTCTTTTATAACACACTGTTCAGGAGGTCACTCATTCCTAGACAGGTAATTAGCATTCTACGAGAGAAAATCTTTGCATAGCAGTGGGGGGGGTCACTTCCATGTTTATAAGAGCTGGTATCCAGATGAGGCTTTGCAAGGGTTAGATACCACATACAACTCTAGTCTATTTTTTCAGTGGTCAGGTAAATTTGTCATGAAAAAGGAACGGGGGATGGGGGGTAAACAGTACATAAAGTTCAGCGAAAATAATTCAAATTTTCTGTGGAACGATCCTTATCTTCTTCTCTGAGGCGAAGGGTCTCCTAAAGATATCCAACCAGAGGTGGTAACCCCCATTTTATATATATATATATATATATATATATATATATATATATATATATATATATATATATATATATATATATATATATATATATATATATATATATATATATATATATATATATATATATATATATATATATATATATATATATATATATATATATATATATATATATATATATATATATATATATATATATATATATATATATATATATATATATATATATATATATATATATATATATATATATATATATATATATATCATGTACATGTACGTCACTTCAGGTGCCTCCTCACTTCCCTCGACTTTCTGGGTTTGGGACATAGGCCTATGTTTACACCTGTTACTGTTAGGTGTCGTTTCGTGTTGTCTTCTGTTAATAGAGAAAGTATGTCAAATCATTGAAGGTTAAATGTTACTCGACTTTTAAGAATGAATTACTAGTAGCATATTTCGAAGTTGGATTAGATGGGTACGAAAAAAAGAGTAATAAGAACCATATTTTTCGGAATATAACCAAATTTAAAATGTACACATGAGCTGCAGCGCTTAATACTATCAACAATGACTGTGCCAGCGTACCACTCAAGGTCATTGCCAGTACAACGTCTTGACAACACCAAGATGAAGCAGTACAGAGTTTACGTATTGCACATTACACGTCATCTCATAATTCTGAATGTTTTTTTTATACTTTAAATTTCTTTTTATTGTTTATGCTTACCGAAAATATCAAAGGATACATAATAATTATATCAACGTTTACTCTGAACTTTAATGTTGTTTCTTTTATATATTGTACTGTATATGTTTGACTGTGACAGCAGTTGCCTTAGACCTGCATGATGTATCTTTATAATGTATTGTATGTCTATCAGTGTTATATTACCCCAAGATAAGTCTCGCTTAAATGTCTATATCAACGGGAACCTTCTTCCTGGGTGTTGTGTCTTATATGTATAAGGTGATTCAGGTTACCGGACCTGCATCATATCTGCCGTATAATGTCTCCAGCAAAAATTAATTTTTCTGTATATTCTGATATTGTTGTTTATAGCTTAATGCATTTTTTTCTAGGAAATGAATTTTTACGGCATACTAAGAACTAAGTTGGAGCTGGTGAATCTACCCGTTTCCGAGTGAGCTTATTATCATACGACGATATTTTGAGCAGGGACGACCAGTGGTTGAAGAGGTTCATTGTTAAGGTTTAGTATGATATTAGGAAAAGGAAACTATGAACACCATATACACCCTGAACAGTAACTGTGCGAACGACTGAAAGCCTTTTTGAGTACTTTCAATTAGGAGTTATTGTATTTCAATTGGATGTACTCATAAATGTATTCATACAAACCTCAACTCACTAAGTTTCATACCCTGAAACAGAAGTCTACTGACACTCGCCAACGTTCTCCAAGCTCTATGTTGTCCGATATTGCCTTCCCTAATCTCGCTTTGGCAGTGAAATTCTTCACATAATTTATATTGGTTAAGTCAAAAACAGCGTTGGTAATGTTATGGTTATTCCTACTCATTAATAGTCTATATACTACCCTCATAGATCGCCCGCTCTCAGAGTACAGTATTGGTATATTGTGTCAGCGTATTACAAGGTGGTCAGTTCTGGTCTTAAATCTTCCATACAAATTCTTTACCCGGAATCAGAAACACCTTTAGCTATAAACACGAAGACTAATATATGCAGAACTCTAGTCGTTGTTGGGCCCTTAATTAACATTTACCTTACAATTACTGTAAGATGCATCATATATGACTGTCTACTGTAAGTTTACGTTACAGCTGAATGTTACCATACTTCTATTACACACATATATCCACCACTTTACACCTAAATGTTAACTCATCTACATAAAAGACTTTGTTTTTGCGCTTACATTACACCTTTTTAGACATAGCCTACAGACGAACCAAGTTGCTGGAAAATAAAGTAGGTGGCCATATGGGTGAGTATAAATAAACCCGCCTTGTTGCTGTCGTTAGAACCTGACACTCTTGTATTGTCATGAAGAATGATAACAAATGAGGATGAGATTACGAAGACTAAACAATCTTTTTGTTGTAGTTATGGTGAATAGGTGCTGTGGATACATACCACAGTCTTTAGGATATTAACTTACGACAACTAATAAGACCGAAGGTTTCAGAGGCAGACAGGAAGTGGAGGGATTAACAAAGAAGTGTTTGGTTCACCTCATACTTGCCAGCACCACAACAAAGTAATCTTGAACTTGCCCATTGTTGTTAAAGACCCAATTTTCCTTAAACACAGCTTATCATTTTGTTATTAGAAGTTCATGCATCTAAAAATTTTGTCACCAGAGAAGGTTATACATGAATGTATTTGTATGAATCTAATGCTAAGTGTCAATTTTGTGAGTAAAAATTTAACCTCCAGTTCATTCAGCGCATACTTTTAGCTTCTAATGTAATCATATTAACTTCAGAACGGGATAATCCTACATTCTTCTACTGTGATTACGTAGGTCTGCCAAATTGGATGTATTTCAAGCGCGATGGTCAGTGCGTGTGCCCGCTGCTATTCTTGCCTGCTGCAAGCTAAAACCTCCCACCACTCACCTTTCCTGGTAATAGTACTTTCAGCCTCCTTCAGACGCCCTCTGGTCGGTGCTCAAAGCAGTGGTGTGCTTGGTGTGGTGCAGTGAAGCTCGTCGTAAGTCATATTGATCTGATATAAGTAAATAGGGTGAGTGAGATGTTTTTGAACGCCTTCCTATCATGATCTGTAATAAGAGCGCCTAAAACATGTGGTGAACCCAAGAGATTTTGTTGTAGGAGGCGTAGTGAATCGATGGTTAAAAGTGTTCGTATGTGGCCAGGCGGCGCTATATTAGAATCCTACTGAAACAGATCCTATGTTATTACATATTGTTATTATCCTCTAAAGCAAGATTCAAATATTGCTTCTCGGTGATTTTATTACGTTTCGGTGGAATTATTTTTAAACATTATTTCCGAGTCTGCCAACTGCTTGTCTAGTAGCTTTACAGAGTACTGGCCCAAGCTGAGCAGTGTGAACCGGTGTCCAATCGTTGTTACTCTGCCCGCAGCTGGGGTATTGTTTTCGGTCCTGACTGCTTGCCCGACTGCATGTGTGTCTATGTGTCTTCGACATAATTCTAAAACAGGTCAGCGGACTTGCACCAAACTTGGTAGGTTGGATCAACATGTCATAACTGTTCGAGCAATGAGAACACAGAGTGTTTCGGTGATAAAAGAAAACGATGTCACGAAAGAGTCTCTAGCGGGGACTACACTAATTTACTGTAATAGCACCACTTTCGGTATTTACCTTGCCATGGTTACGGTTTGCGGGTAGGTACTGCATCCGACTTTTAATTGACATTTTGAAAACTATGAACATGTGGATTTATTACTTTGAAGGCGAAAAAAATGAGGGGGGAAGGACTCACGGTAGATGCTGTGTGAGAATTTGGGGCTAAAATAGTTCTCAAATTATAAAAGTTTTTGGACATAGGATGTTAGCGGGAAGAGCTGCTCTCCTATGACCTATGTGTGTGAGCTTACCTAGACCATGTATTTAAATACCTAGACAAAAACATATATGCAAAAATAACAGCATCCCGGGTACATGTTTATGAAGGTGGTAAAATTTCTTGTTCATATGAACTGTCGTTAAATATCATAGCAAAACTATATTATATCCAACTTAGTTTTGGTATGGTTATATTAGGTGCTCTGCAGAACCGTCCATATGTATCTATGTACACCATGTATATCATGCAGATCCACAGTGGAAACGTGGACAAGATAAATCTCGATAAAACCACACAAGAAAAGGGAGCACCTTAGCTTTCGTCTTATTCAAGACATCTTCAGAGGCAACTGAATTTACATTTGGTATTGGAGTCATGAGTTATGAGGTGAAAGAAGATTATTAGGGGTTGAAGAAAAAGTGGTGAAACCGAAATACAAGAGGAGTAGAAATAATCTGGGCTCAACCAGATCGCTTCATATTTCCTATTGGTGATTTATCTTTGTTTTGCTCCCTTTGGTCGTCAGACCTTTGCATTAGTATTAGTTTCCTTATATAGTGCTGATTATAATACTTTTTATTTCATTTTTTTTTCTACTGTGTTAGTTAAATGTTAGTTGTGTTAGTCTAAAGGTACACTGTATGGAGAGGCCTGCCAGGTTCTTAGTGGAGCTGGTAGGTCACTCTCATCTTTTATTCTCTCTATTAATGTTTTATATGTATATTGGGGCAGGAGATGGTTCAATTACTTTCTTTCTGGCTGATTTTAACCAACTGTGTTCTTGGATTTCTTCATTATCTATATTATTTATCCAGTTTTGATAAGTTTCTGTGTTTAGTTCAGTCAATTTGTTCCAAATGTTTACAGCTTTGTTGTGTATTTCTACATTGATTCCTAGGAGGTTTGCTCTCTTGTGTAGCTCTTCATTATTGTTGTGGTCTGTAGATTTTATGTTATATATAAATCTGAGGGCTATATTTTGTTCTGTTTGTAACCTTTTAATGCTCGTTTTACTCAGGGTGTTCAATGGGATGGGTGGGTAGTCCATAATTGAGTTGACAAAGGCTATATAAATCTTTCTTTTGTTATTTATGCTAAGATTGTTAAAACGTTTTATTTTTTATAATCTTATTCTTACCTGTCGTTCTTTATATTTTATGCATGTTATATATATCCCCTTTGTGTTAGTTTTAGTCCAAGCATCCTGCCTTCAGTGTCGTATGGGTATAGTTCCTGGTCGACTATTACTGGACTTGTTTTGATCTTGGCTATTGGTAATATCTTGAATTTGTTCTTATTTGTCCTGATTTTCCATTTTTCTCAAAGTGATATCATCAGCAAACATTACATATTCGCTAAAGGGGGTTGGTTGAGGTGTGTCTGAGGTATATTTTGTATACAGTATAGTGTTGGAGAAAGGCATCCTCCTTGAGGTACTCCACTCTCGAGATTAAACATTGTTCCCATAAAGTTTCGAATTTGAATTTGTGCTCTCCTATCATCTAAATAGTCAGACAATAATCTTAGTAAGTGTTCGTTAAGTCCCAAATTTAATATTTTATATTTTAAGCCCAAATGCCAAACTTTATCAAAAGTCTTAGAAAAGTCCCTTAAAATTATATTGATCTGGTTCCCTTTGCTTTTCTATTGCCATTATTTCCGTTATTGTAGCTATTGCAGTTAGGGTATTTCTATTGTCTATTGTCTGTTGTGTTAAAAAGCTTATAAGTCTTAAATTTACATTTTTTTCACTAGTTTCCCGGTAATTTCTAATGAAGCTATTGGTGTGTAGTTTATTATTTCCTTATTGTCCTTAACCTCCTTGGGAATAAATATCATTTTAACATATTTTAGTTTGTCTGGAAAGTAACCCCTTTATTAAGCATGCAATATAGATGTTCAAAAATGTTTTTAAGATGTTTTCCGGTAGATTTATGATCATATTTCGTGTAATATTCGGGAGACCGGGGGCCTTTTCTTTAAACTTCCTCAGACACTGCATCATTTCTCCTATAGTTATTATTTGATTATTAGGTAGTAAGTTATAGTCTATATATTGCTTTGGGGTGATTCTATGTATGTGTCTTCCCATTTCGTCTTCTATCCTTTCTTCGTGTTCACTCTCAAAATCTTCATTTTCCTCATCTGATATTTTAAAAACTTTTACCCATTCCCTTTTGAATGCTGACTCTTGTTCATTTTCCTCGTGCAATTTTGTTCCATTATGGTCTTTAATGTATGGTGTTTTTTGCTTGTTATGCCCCATCATCTTGTTTATGGAAGTCCAAAATGTTTTTGTGCCTTTAGTCTTGTCGGCCGCCATTATAATATCATTCCATTTTTTATTATTTGCTTCCTTACATGCGTCACTTAATTTTATCTGTCGTGCTGTCTGCGTCGTATATAGCCATCTGTTACTGCCGTGTCTTTCCATACACCTGTTTATTTCATTGTAATGGGTTTGGATTAATTTAACTTCTTCTGCTAGTCTGTTGTTGGGTAATGTTCTGAAGTGTGAAACAGGAGTGGGTTTGGTTATAGATGTTTTTATTGCTGAGTGCAGTCTGTCAATTTGTGAGTCTATGTCTTCTGTTATTTTCCCTTGTATATTCATCGAATGGTGATTACCTAAGTCTTCTTTGTAGCTATCCTAGTCTGTTTTGCTCATTTTCAGTCTCTTTTTTTATTGGCACAGTATCTGTATGGGGCTTGTTGACAGTGTTAGTATAATTGGCAGATGGTCGCTGCCTGTGAGAGGTCCTTGTTTTATATAATAACTGAAAAAGGCTTTGCTGTTAGTAAAAATTTTGTCTGGTGTCGATTGTGTATTGTGAATTCTCCAGGTTGGAAAGTTAGGGCCTAGATGATTTATTTTCCCTGGGTTTATTAATTGATTAAGGGCGTTTCCCACAGCGTTATTATTTGTATTGTCGAAAATTCTGTGTCTGGCCTTAAAGTCTCCTAAGATGTACATCGGATGACTATTGTTAGCCAATTTTAATAGGTCTTCTATAGGTAAGTAGGGTCGTCTCGGTGGCAGATAAGTAGAAGCAATAATTACGTCTCCTCGAGTAGTATTTATTTTTATTGCTAGAAATTCATCCTGGAAGTCGTCGATTAGTTTATATTTTAAGTTTATTTTAACCGCTATAGCCACTCCGTAATTTTTCTCGCCCGATTTATTTCTTTGGTTTACATAATAGTTAAAGAGTTTTATGTTGTTCTTGTCTGTCTCACCGTGACTGTTTATTAGTATAATGTCAGGGTCAATTTCTTAGGTTAATTCTCTCGGTCTTCCAGTTTCTTACGTTGTGTTGTATTATTCTTAAAGTTCTTACTGTTTGTCTGTTGTCCATTAGTTCTTAAACTTGGATTGTGACAGTTGGAGTGGAGACCTATCATCCTGTTTCCCGCTTCTGACTCTTCTAAACTCTGATGGGTCTACTATTTTAAAGTCATTCGTCGTAATCTTTAGTTTGTCCATAATGATTAGTGTCCAAACGTATTCTTCATTTAGGGATTTTTCTTGATATGTCCACTTGTATATCCCTCCTTCACAGTGTTTCGCTATTGTCCCTCCTGTTGGTCTCGAAGTTGGGATTCCATGTTTTGGTGTAGTGATCACTTCTAATCCAATATCTTCAGCAGATTCAGGTTGTCTGTTGTGATCAGTCTCCATCTTATCTTCTCTCGTCTTTGTCCTTTGTCTTGTAGACTGTCCTTTTGTTGTTTCTGTCTTCTCTTTGTCACTTCTAGTCATTTGTCTGGGGTCTCTATCAGTCGCTTGTATGTCTTGTGTATCAGCTGTTGCTCCTTGTGCATACATTTTTCATAGCTGCAGCCTTTCTTTCAGTTCACTTGTGTATGCCTGAAAAAATTTATCGGATTATGGATTCTCTGGGAATATCATCTCCGGTAGGTTATTAAATTAAAAATTTTCCCTTAACTTGTCATTGTATAATCCGGGTGCAATGATATTGTGCAGATGTGCATGGATCATACTAATCATTACCTTGTCGTGTATTGTTTCGCTTAAGTTTAAGATGGTGGATTCTGGTCTGTGAGCCTCTTGGACCGCTCTCTTGGCTATTTCAACGTATGTCGTGTCTTTCTTTTCTCGTTCCCTTTCCCTTGTTTCTTGTTCCTTGTACTTTATCATGTGCTTTTTTTATTGGGCATGCCATTGCTA